AGTTTCAACCTGAGGGGGAGAAGTTCATGGTGGAGAGTTTTTCAAACCCTATTGAGCTCATTTGCCCCCCTGTGGTAAGAAATGATTATTAGTGTAATTTAATTATGCCATTATGTCACTATAATTACATGATGTGTTGGATTTTCTTGCTAATTCCATTATTACGTGCTTTAAATGTCTTTCATGCTCAAACGGACAAATCCCAGAGTCATCCATACATTTACACCAGACCCAGTGCTGCAAAGTCAGGCACATCACTTCCTGAGATGCCCCAGTCAGCTGGCATCAGACTAACTGTTCTCCACCTCATCTTGGCTTTCCTTCCACTGTGGTTGGCTGTTAATCTGGCCTCCTTGTAGCACATCCATATGGAGTATCATGGTACATCATGTCTGCCCACCTGATGTTCTGCTTGGGCTTAATATCATTGCTTTGAACCATTGAGGATCTATTCTGAGACTTGAGCCACTGCAGGATGGTCTATGATGAAACTGATAATGAGGGAGTAAAAGATAAATAAGTTATCAAAAATTAACAGGAAATTGGAGTTGGCAAAATATGAAGACTTGGTTACAGTCAATATCATATTGAATTGCTCTGTAGAGTTTATGCAATGGGAATGTTGAAACCCCAGAATAGAAAAATATATGCTAATGTGATGACCTTTTCTGATATACCCAACCAAAATAGCACAAGAGCAGGTGCAAAGCTACTTTTAGCTCGGCATAATGCTGCTATAATTAATTTAGGTAAGAAAGGTAACTGTGTAAGCTAATTCCGGATGGTTTGAATAAAAATGGCCAGAGGTTATACCGTAAACTCATTAAGCCTAGAATTGAATGTTGGCTGAGAACAGCTGTTTTGCTTCTGAGAGCATGGTGAAAAGTAAACTGTTTGAGAGCTTAATACTCACAATAATAAGATAATTGCTTTGGATTCTGCAACATGAGAAGTGCTTTTGGTCTTCTCAAATAAAGCTTTCAGAAGGGGTACTTACCTGTTTTCCTTCCATTTTTTTTTTCTTTGAAAGTAATTTTAAGATATGCCTTTTTTTCTATACAGCTGAAGGTTCTTCAGGGATTTTTGAATGAATTCTTCCATTACCAATCAAAGAACCCATCTTTATAGTTGTAATTAGCAGCTCCTAAATGTTCTTGGAAATAGCCTAACAATTAAACAAAAGTAATTAAATGAAGTATAGCAATGCAATTATATTGGTAATAAATAATTTAATAAATATGTTCGTTTTGTTAGTCTGTTTGATTCTGACTGCATTTGTCCAAACTTAGCTGAGTGCTGCATATTAATTAGTATTATTATCATTCAAAGTGGATGTTTTGACCCACTTTATACCTTAGAACTGTCAGTGAATTGTTAATATTAGCCTGTTTTTCTGTTTTAAAGCCTTTTTAAAATAAGTACACAACATGCAGGTTTTTATATTTTGCCACGGGATGTAATATATCATTAATTCACTATGTTGTTGTTTTTCTATTCCTGAGATCACAAGAGTGAATTGAAAGCTTATTTGTGAATACCATGTTTACTTATCAGTTTACCTTTAACCAATTCACAGTTATGTTTAGGAAGATTAATATTTTTGGGGCTTTGTGTTGTACATATACTACTCTATAATAGATTTATTTACTTTCCTGTATTGACAGCTAATACAATACTATTGCCCTGTTTAATATCAATAATGAAGATGACTCAGAATATGAGGTTATGTATTTATTTATTTGTTCTTTTAGTTTTTTACATTTAAAAAAGTAATTGCTTAACTCAGTTCTGAGAAACTGCTTTTCATGGCTGATTTATTATCACTGTCCGAAAAAAATTGAACTCAATCACAAAAGCAAGCATTTATTTCAAAAATTAGAACTTTTCATTATTATCATTCTTACAGGGTTTTAGTAGATGAGTGGAACATTTTAGTTCCACATAAGTATTTTAGTTCCACAAATTGCTCATTTTGTTTAACCATGTACATTATAAAATAAATCTGATTTCCATGCATGACTGAATAAAACAGCACTGTGCAGTTTTGCATATAATTCCACAGGGTAAAACTTAGAATTTACACATTTTAATATAACTTAATTGCTCGGGAAAAAATGATTGCAAAACTCAGGAGCAAATGTGACCATAATGGTATGTTTTTTTTGTGTCCATTTCAAACTGATACAAACAGGAAACCATTGTTTCCTCTCTGAAGGAAATTGGATGCAATACATCACAAGCATGTACTCATACTCCTACTGACTGTTCGATTTTCATTCCATTTTAGTGTGCCCAGAATAGAGAAATAGCATTATCTTCTCATTACAAATCAATGGTCAACATGTCTGCTGCCTCGAATTTCTTGCTTTTCTGCAATGTATCTGTTTAACTCAATATCATTTTCCCAAACGGGGGTAAAATGTGTAAACAGCTGCCTCTAATGTGCACATTATCAAAACCCACTAGGGTAGAGCCTTGCTTTCTGTGTCACCTAAGAATAATATGATAAATGAAGTCTGAATGGCTTGTTGAGATGCACAATGAGTGGCTGATATATTGTTTTCATGAGCTACAAGGACAGATATTCACCTTTTGCAGTTAACAAAGAGAGCATATTTCCATCAAAACAACCTATTAAAACATAAAAGAATAAGTGGTGAACAAATAATTAAGCAGAAACATTTTATCAGATTTGCATGTGAATTGAAAACCTACACAACAGGTAGAAGAGCTGTAGTAAATGTTATATAGTACGTAATTGCATGACGCTTTCCCACATCTAATAATCTGCTTCCTGCTCACATTGACTCTCTTTCATCCCCTGCCACTCTTTTTAATGCATCTTTGCTGTGCTCAATAAATTAGTTGGTGGGATAATCACATATGGTTCCCCTGAGGTCCATCATTTACTGCCTATGCCAATGTTTAATGTAGTCCTTTTCTAATTGAATTACTTTCTGTTTTGAATAGCAGACTCTACTGACCGACTTCTGTTTGGTATTCAACACAAAGATTCATGCCAAACAGCCTGCCATTCATTTTGCTTTATTAGGGACTAAATTACTACAATTTGATGTTTTTTTTACTTTAATATTTTACTGTACAGACATTTTAGTGGAAATCATGATCTACTTGTGCTCAAAGCCATTTTATTTGAGTAATGCGTGGGATCTTAATGGGACCTCATAACTAATAAGACATCTGTGTGGATGATATATGTGAGTGATGTCAGTTTACCAATGCAGATTTGACCCATATTATATTTTAGGCATGTCCAAGATTATAACTTTTGAATGAACCCTTTAACTGTCACCCGTCCCCTCTGTGGGACGCCTACGTTTACTTCACTTTATTTCAATTAAATCCTAATCTAATCATGACAAACTATATATCGTTGGAAAGGTCTAAGACTCCTAAATAGATATTTTACCAATGTTTTTGTTAAAAATTATGTAGGAAAAGTAATAGATTAATTTTTGACAAGAGTGCACCTCAAAAATCTACATCATAACAGGAGTTCTGACCTTTGTCACAAAAAGTCTTCATCGTTGCCTTTTTCTCTATCACACTTTAGAAATCATCAGAAATTATATATCAATTGAAAACTCTAAATCTCAAAATTCCTCATTTGAAACCCATTTTAAAATCAAACATTACCATGAAAATGGTACATCAATATCATGTCATAAAATGTTTTCGTTCATGAATTATAAAAATGTAAGTTTGAATCGAGCACTTTCACATCTATGTTCAAAAATGTGAGTGACAGTTAAGGGGTAAGGGAAAAAATAAGCTACAGCCTTGTTTTGAAATGCATTTAGGAAAGGGTGATCCTATGCTTTTGCTTGCCTTTGGTCTCAAGCAGAATATGAATAGATTGAAAATCAAGCAAACCACCATCAGACAATAAGGCTTAATGATGTGATACATTTTAAAATGAGAAAAATTTGGGAAATAAATACATTTCTTTAGACGATCCAACACGCCCTTCTACAAAATATGGGACCCCAATTATCGAATAGAATTCTGCTTATAGCCTATACTAAGTAGTATGTATGTTATGTGTACACTGTAAAAAAAAATCTGTAGTTTTTACAAAATCATTTTGGCAGCTGTGGTTGCCAGAATAATTTTGTAAAAAATACAGAAAAACTGTAAACAGTATAAAACTCTAATTTACAAACAAGAAAATTTGAATGTAAACCAGTAAATTCAACAATGCACACTGCTGTTAAAATCTGTTTTGTACCTTTAACATACTGACAACCACCATAATAATGCAGGTGGTAAAAGAGAAAGCCACATGAAGAATCAAAGCTCATCACAAGCAGCTTCACCACAAGCAGAAGTATATACTAATATATAGAAGGTGCACAAAGTCATTCATGCAAACACAAAACACCATCATGGTAACACACATGATACTTAAATAATGCATTCAACTTTCATTAAACAACAGAAGATGTAACATAAAGCCCAAATAACCATAACTAATAACAAAAACTATTTAAAAAAATGATAATTTAAACAAAATACTTTCAAATGTGGAGTGTCACGCAGGGAATTCTGGGAATATCAGTTTACAGTTTTTGACTGTAAATTATACATTGATTTGTTATTTTTACTTCTAAAAACTGTAAAAATTAACAGCATTTTACTGTAAAATTACATGAAATATCTGGCAGTTTTTCCCTGTATATAGTACGGGAACTTAATGTTAACCTATTACAGTTTTTTTCCGTAGCGTTTTTACAAAATTTTACAGTTAAAATTACACTTCTTTTTTTACAGTGATATTATTACTAGTATAAATACATTGAAATAATTAAGCAAATGTATGAAATTAAAGCAGTTGTTTACATCCATATATGCATATAGTAATATAATAATTATTATTATTAACTTTTTTCTTTATCATTTAGCAGATGCTGAACTAAGCAGCTGTACTTCATACTGATGTCATTTCCTCTTCATCAAGTCTTCTATATAAAGGCGGCTTCGCTGCGGTAGTGAGTATAGTATCCGGCGAAACCAATCAGAGCAGGCGCCTTATTATATGCGCATAATGCATCCATAAATCAGCGAGTGTTTTGATTCACTCTGAGGAAAGGAAAGTACCAGCGTTCATTCGCTTTCCTCTGGCACGACGGTTCGTCTCTTTTGAACAGAACGGTCGCCTGCGCTTCGCATTACGAAAATGATCGCACGAGGATGCGCTGCTCTCGTGGTGCTGGTGAATTTTGGTAAGTGTGCAAGATGTACAAATAATCACGTAACGTGTTAAGTTATTGTGGGAATACTTCGTGTAATTTGGATGATTAATTGATTCTGTTGTGTTGACTGTACATGTTTTACATGTGAGCTGTGCCGTGTCTCTGTCAGCACCAAGGACAGCGGATAAAACACTTGTGAGGAGCACAAAAGGCTTTTCACACTTGACATTTGTAAACGTAATCTCTTTACACGCTTTACAGTGATAATACTTAGTCTTTTAGTAATTAATCCTCTTCGAGATTTCGCATTGTAAACCCAGGGTTAACGCGCTTATTTACATATTTATAAAGTCATTCAAATTAATTAGACAAATACAGCAATAACCGCTTGTCTACTGTAGCTACGTAAATCTCCCGACGTAGATCCACTCTAGTTGTTTTACGCTAACTATAAAACATGCAACACAAATAATAATGCGTCCGTTAATGCGTTTCCCGTCGTTGTTCGACATTTGAACGGGTATCCCTCAGATTACAAACGGCGAGTGAAAGTTTCTGCGACTTGCAAAGAACATGAATATTTAATGAGCTAAGCACTGAAGCAGTTTATGATTGGTTGTCTGTTGCTAAACGACTCGCGTACCCTCGTTACTTAACCAAAAGATTAAACCTAGCTTTCACACAGAGTCATTTGTTTTTGCTTATCAAAACTCTCTCTCTCTCTTTCCAGTCTTCTCCGTACCTGTCTCTCCAGGTCACATGGACGATAAGGATGTGAAGGTATGAGTTGATAAATCATTGTTTAAACAAACAAAATATTCGTTTTCAGCTTCACTACTGTTCAGTATTATTTTAATGTGTATTTGGAGCAGCCTTTTGGAACATAAGGATGCACAGAATGGCAGCAGCCATAGTCCATGCTGTCAGGAAGTGTGGAGGAAAGCAGCATAAGTGAGACAGTGACTCAGCCTAGTGACAGCTGGTGCCATGTGTGCTTACTCAGAGGAGGCTACCAACTACAGATGACTGCAAACTGTGCGTTTAAACTATGATGAACTGAATTTAAACGTAAACTGAAGTTGGATTGCGCTCATTTAACTTAGTTGAGTTTGTCACATGATTCTTTCCTGTCCTTGCCGATGAAAAACTTCTTAAGAGAGGCTATGTTTTGATAGAGGACACTTCTGAAATGTGTGTAAATCTGAAGTTTTGAGGCGAAAGACATCAGCAATGTCAAGTTGCAAACAGATGCAGTTCTTCTCGGTAAAATGATAATGCCATTTCAGCAACACTTTGGTCTTAATGGGGGAGGCTGTTTTTTCCTGACAGCAGAGAAATGTTTGACTTTGGGGGAATGTGGAGCCAAACAAATCGCAGAGAAGGGTGAGAGGGATGAAAGCACTGAGGAGGAAATGACATTGATTGAAAGTGAAATGTAAGACAGTAAGGATGGCTATATGGGGGGTTTTGAGATATTGTTGGCATGCTGCATCTGTGTCCTCTGTCATATTGATCTCATGAGTGCATGGAGTCCATATATACACAGCACTATTTAAAAACAAGGATGCATTACATTTATTAAATGCATATTTGAAAGATTTCTAAAGGATCATGTTACGCTGAAGACTGGAGTAATGGTTACTGAAAATTCAGCTTTTCCATCAGGAATAAAGGACATTTTAAAATATATTCAAATAGAAATAATATTTTAAAATGTAATATTTCACAATATTACTCGTTTTACAGTATTTTTGATCAAATAAATGCATCCTTGGTGAACATTAGAGACGTCTTTCAAAAACATTAAAATAACTTACCATTCCTAAATTTACAAAATAGCTTAAAAATGTCACACCATTTCCTAACCCAATCTTCTCTGTCTTTGTATAGGTGATGAAGTGTATTGTGGAAGTAATTGCAGATGCCCTGTCCAAGCCTCATCTCATCCCAGTCTCCCAGGACTGCCTTGAAACCCTCAGCGCTGGTGAGTGCCTGCATTAGTGACACCTGGACTGCTATTATTTCCATATATTTTGCTGCACTTGGGTGCATTTCCTTCCTATCATCAGCAGTGACCTTCCCGATATGATCAATATATGCTATCATTGCTGCTGTGACTGCACGTTTCTGACAGTTGAAAGTTAATGGAGCAAAGTAATGAATGACATTAGCACATGAGTCATAGTGTGAAGTTTTGCCGTGCACTGTTCAGTCACATTGCAGGGTCTTTTTTTCCTTGATACTTTAATTGTAGGAAAATCAATCATTCTATTAGCAAGGCAGGTATTGTTACTGAGATAACGCTTACAACGGTGAAATTAAACACTCTGTGAGAGGCTTACACAATGACTCTAGGACAAAGAAACAGTGAAGGACAGAGACTGACAGAAGGAGAGAGGAGGACCGATAAGTTGAGAAAAGCAGAATTTTATAAAGACACTGTTAAAAGCATTACTATTTTTAACAGGAAAAGTGCTATCCTAAAAAATGTAAGTGTTAGTTACCTTACCAAAATATAGTAAAATTATTATATTATAAGTAATGATAATGATAATAATAATAATAATACAATTATTATTATAAAATTAATTAAAACATTTAATTTGAATACAATTTATTTGAATTTTTAACAAAATAGTTACAATTATAATTTTTACATTTTTAAAAAGAAAAAGTATTAATCATCTTATATAGTATGAACCACCTTATAATTAATAGCAAAAGGGACAGTCTCAAGATTCTCTGTTTAAACCCACCCTTTTTATTATTAATACAGTAAGAAAAATAATTTAATAGTTCAAAAAAGTTTGTGTATTAAAGTGTATTAAAATTGTATCATTAAAAGACATACAGTTAGTAACTAAAATATACAGTAGGTTAATCACAGTAAACTACATCTATAACTGAAACTAAAAAACCACAAAAATCATTAGTTGAAATAAAATAAATGAAATAAAAATTTATTACAATTATTTCTCATTTTAATTTAGTGTAACCCGATGAACTAATATAATTCAAACTAAAACTGAAATATAAAGGAACAAAAACTATATAGACATTTAAAAACGACTAAAAATGACAAAATACATCAACATTACTAAAACTTGAAATAAAATAAAATGAAAATGGACAATATAAAAATATTTTTCTTTTCTGATAAATAATGGTTAATGGTTAGAGAGTCTGACTTGTAACCCAAAGGTTGCGGGTTCGAGTCTCAGGTCCGGCAGGGATTGTAGGTGGGGGAAGTGAATAACCAACGCTCTCTCCACCCTCAATACCACGACTGAGGTGAGACCCTTGAGCAAGGCACTGAACCCCCAACTGCTCCCCGGGTGCTGCAGCATTGTGTGCTTGTTCACTACTCACTGCTGTGTGTGTGCACTTGGATGGATTAAATGCAGAGCACAAATTCCAAGTATGGGACACCACATGTCACATCCTTTCCTTTCCATAAAATAAGACTGATATACAGACACCAAAATGCCATTCCCTAATGCTTGTCCATTATATGTCAATTCTGTACAGCAATATTCTGGCAACTACAGCTGTCAGTTTTGTACCATAACTTTAACAGATTGCGAAGAAGCTTGGCAGAGAAATAAGACAGACTGAGAAAGTAAGGAGTAGAGTGAATAGCATTGCCATCGAGTGTGCAGCCGACTCTGCATGCACTCCTTTGTCGGTCAGCAGAAAAGGAAAAGCTTGACTCAACGTTAATTCAACGCAAATCTCTCCTCTCCCCCTCTTTATTGTTTTCACTTTCTCTCTTCTCTCTCAGTGGGCATGATGATCAATAGTGTTGCTCAGGAAAAGGCAGTAAATTTCAGGGCAATTAATGCAAATAATGTAAAAAATAAAGTGCTGACTGCTAAAAATAGTGTTTGGTGTTTGGAGCTGTGTGTGAGATGTACCTTGTATTTTCCAGATGACAGGCTTGTGAGCATCCTGCGCCACCGCAACTTTCTCAGAGAGATGCAAGATATCGCTGCAGAGGGTAAGAGGCAGATACTCCAAATTTGATTGGGACAGCATGAACTAACTCTGTTTCCTATGGAGAAATGCTAATGGCAGTAGAATGACAGTTGGGTGCTAATGTTTTTTTTTGGCAGCAGTAGGTCATTTGAAATGTAGAGCAGAGAATTGTATAACACTGCAGATGAACTCTGAAGGAGGATCCACACATTCTGTTTTATTGCCAAGATGCTGCTATGTCTGCTTGTGACCATTTCCCCACCAAACTGCTTCTTAGGATCCAATGAAAGAGCACAGAAACACCCAGGAGATGCACCTGAACATGTGACTAGCCTCACTATAGACACAATAAAAACTGCAGGTGAGATTAATCCACTTCTTAATTGCCACGGAACATGACTCTATGCTGGTCTGCTACATCTTTATTTATTTCTTTACATTCCCATATGGAAATGTTATATATGAAAGTGTTATTGCCATATATGTTATATATATATATATATATATATATATATATATATATATATATACACACATACATATTTACATACTCTGGATAGATGAATGTTAGGGCATATAGAACATTTCTGTAGAAAATGTTGTTTGTTTACATATGTTAATTAAATCCATATGAAGATTTTTTTTATATGATATAATTTGTAGCAACCATATATGTCAACAATATATTTTATTTATGTGTATAACTTTATTAAAACAACATATATACAAAAATCTGTATATTAAGTTGTGTAAATCTGTATAGTAAGTTTTTTTGTAATATATATTTTTTTAAATGCATGTGTGTCTTTTATATTTACTCATATAATATCAAGCTGTATTGATGAGTTTTAGGATGGATATACATGTACGTGACATATATGTCCAAAAATGTTCATACATATTTGTGTGGGCTAGATATAGATGTTAATATATTGTTTCAATTTCTAATAGGTTTCATTTGTGTTTTTACATGCTATGACAATATATCGCAGTTTAAGATATAATTCATTTGTGTATGGGTTGTTTTATTACATTATTATATTATATATTTTTATATGCATGCTTATACACTTTGCATATAAGAGAAGAAAGATGAGAGAATGTTGTAATCTTAGAATAAATTCCAGGGAAAAAAACAAAAACAAATGCTGCTTTGATTTAGCATTGCTTGTTACTCTTCAAAGGATAGAAGACAGTCATTCAGTGCTCTCCAAGCACATTTTAGTGTGAACCACTGTGTTCTGCTCTGTAGTGCTGCACTTAGCAGCATTCTGACAGAATCAGGGCAGAGGGCATCTGTCTTTTCTAGTCTGCATCGTTTCTTGTTGGTGCAAATGCACACTACCAGTCGTATAATATTGAGCTTGTAAAATTTCTTTTGTCCACCAACTTGGACTTTTGTCTTGGATATGTCATATCTCAAATCTGTGGGCACAAGTGTGTGGGTAATAAATATCATTCTGTACTTACAGTGTGAGAGTCAAGTAAAACTGATTGTGTTTTAAACGTCCCCTTAATTTGCGAGTAGGTTGTCAGTGTACTTTGCTGTGCATTTAATTTGACCTCATTTAAAAGTGCTGATGTTGAAAATGGTGTCATCTCTTTGTATGATCGCTTGCATTGCAATTACACATATTAAGCCGTGTCAGTCTACTAATGGTCAGTCTGCTTATCTTTTTCCTGAGGTTAACGTGTTTTGAACACACCATCTATACTGTATGTTCTTTTGAAAGTACTGCACTGCTGAGGTCAGACAGATTGATCCAAAGAACAACCATGTACAACAGTCTGTTCCACAGCCTTGCACTTTCATTAAAAGCCACTGTAGCAGTATTCATTACAGACGAATCAAATCTAAAGGCTTAGAACCTGAAGACCTGAAAGAAACAAAAACAGATCTCAATAAAGTCTGTCTATCATACAGTATATAAATCAAACCCTAAAGCTCTGACCTGTAGAAACCCAGTCTGCGTAAAAGAATATCACACAAAACATTTATTTATTTTGATATATGAATATATTAATTTAGTATCATATATGAATGAACATGAAAACATCTGAACAAAAGAATAACACTATATAATAATTTTTTTTTTATTCATTTAAATAATACAAAAATGAGCACCTAACCTCAGTATAACCCTTTACTATTCTACAGATGATCAGTCAATGTTGGTTGCCTTGGATAAACCAGAAGAAGATGCAGAGAAGAGAGGAGCAGGAGAGGAGAACTCCAGGGAGAGTGAGGAGACAGAGCAGGAGTCTCAAAAACGCAACCAGATTGCTGAGGAAGAGGAGCTTGAAGAACATGAGAGTCCAAGCAATCACATTTCCAACTCCATAAACCCAGAGCAGAACAGAGAGTCACAGGAGGAGGCCACAAAAAGGGAAGAGGATAAACAAGAGAAGAAACACTCCAGCTTGGAAAAGGAGAAGGAAAATGATCCGGCTCACCATAAAGATGGTAATGATGAATGCGATGTGTGGGATGCCATATGCGCTACTTTCTGAGTTGATCTTTGAGTTGACATTTTAGCCTGAATCCTGAAATGAATGACTCTTATAAATCAGTTCTTTTAATAAATATTTAAAAAACAGTTATCAGTTTGAAACACTGCCTTGGTGTTATTTACAGCAATAGCAGAGAGAGATTTTTTTATATTTAAAGAGTTAGTTCACCCAAAAATGAAAATTCTGTCATTAATTATTCACCCTCATGTCATTTCAAACCCGTAAGACCTTCGTTCATCTTCGGAACACAAATTAAGATATTTTTGATGGAATCTGAGAGCTGTCTGACCCTGCATAGACAGCAATACAACTGAAATGTTCCCAAGTCCAGAGATGCAGCAAGGAGATCTGTAAAATAATTCATGTGACATCAGTGGTTCAACCGTAATTTTACAAAGCTACGAGAATACTTTTTGTGCTGACTTTGCTTTAGTGTGTCTGTTAATAGAAACAATGATTTGGGAATCTGTATTCATGAGTACAGATAGAAGAACAGGACAGGGGCTTATATTTCAGGATAAGAGGCATCAAGCAGTGAGCTGGCAAGAGAGAGCATTTCATTTAGAAGAGTGCTGGGTTTGCTGATGCTGCACTAAAGTAAATGTGTGTGTGTGTGTGTAGAATAGAGAGAAGAGACTGAGATAATATAATAATTATAACTTTGTTCCCTTTTTATCTGAAGGGGAAACAGCCACAGATGATCATGAAGCAAATCCCGACATAAAACAATCTATCATGGAGGACAGCGAGGAGCACAAGGGAGCTGAAACAGAGAGAACACATTCAAAAGAAGAGCTGGAAGAAGAGGAGGAGAAGAAAAGGGAAGTTGGAGTGAAGCGCTGGAGTCATGTGAGCAAACTGTCCCACAAGAGAGTAGAGGCAAGCCCAAAGCTGGATGAGCACTGGGAAGCACCACAGCACTCTAAGGAGAGAGAAGGTCAAGAGGGGGAGCTGTGGAGGAGCCCTGAGGAGCAGGAGCTACAGCTCATGGCACAAACTCAACCACAGGACAAACGAGATGAAGAGGGCAGCGGCAGCAGAAAGACAGGGGTAGGACTCTTACACGTTTTATTAATGCTTAAAACACAAGCAGTATTTTTCTTCTGAGGAACACAAAAGTAGAATGGTTTTTTTTCTTTACATGGCTCTTTCAGTGAATCCATGGTTCATAGTGACCATGTTGGTCAAGCTTCAAAAATGACAAAAACAACATAAAAATAATCCATGTGACTACTTCCAAATCATCTGGAGTCATACTATAGTTTTGAATTGATATTTTATAGTTTTTTTCTGAATAAATTTAAAAATATGTATATGAAAATGACAATCAGTATACTGGAATGATTTCTGAAAGATCACGTGACACTAAAGACTGGAGTAATGACTGCTGAAAATTCAGCTTTTACATTATAGGAATAAATGACACTTTAAAATATATTAAAATAGAATAGAACACTTAGAATAGAATAGTTATCCTAAATTATTAATTTCAAAAAATTATAAATGCAAATAGATAAATATTGTCTTGGCGTGCATGAGACTTATTAAAAAAATACTGACCCCAAACTTTTAAATTGTAGTGTACATGTAAATGTTCATGAAGAATTTTAAAATGAATTAATGGCCTGATTTTCTCTCTTCTGTTATCAGGATGCTGAGATCGAAAGTCTGGCTGCCATTGAGTCTGAACTGGAGAGTGTGGCTCAGAAGCTCCATGATCTGAGACGAGGCTGAGCTGCTCCAGCTCTTCTTCTCTTTCCACTTTGCCCTTCATCTCTCCTTCAGTAGAAAGGCATGTTAACTGGAGAGGAGGCTCTCACCTTCTTGCTCAGTCCACAGCAGCGCAAGCTCTTATCTCAGCGCCGCAGATTCTCTGCTTATTCCCTCCATGTGTAAAATGAAACCTCAAAGCGACTTCTCTGGTGTCAGACATTCAGAGGTCCCTTCACTTTTTTCTCCCAGCTCCTCCGCTTTGCTTTATTGTGCTTGCTTCCGGAAGAAATCTGGGCATTGAGTACATTTAATGTAAAATATTTGCTACTCAGAATTATCACACTGGGTTGAAATTTTAATAAACGTAAGGATATATATCTGATAGATTGTACCCGATATCATGGAGTCTTATGATCCATAGGCAATAATGTTTTTATTAGATATGGTGATGACTGTAATTAAATGCTTTTTGGGTTTCAAGAAAACAAATAAAGATCAAAAAGAAGTGTTTCAAACTGATTCCACAATGTGTGAGTCTGAACTAAACCTCAAAGCGACCCAAAACTGATGTCAATACAGCAGACAAACAATCAGTCAAATAATTCTCAGTGCTAAAGTTTGATTTTATTGTCCTTTTCATTCTTTTCATTCTCAAAATAAAAAATTGCCATATTTAAAAGCTATACATCATGTACAAGTATAACGTGATGGAGATAAAACAGACTAACAAACTTACATTGTCAAAATAGCAAATATAATACATTTGTCAATCATATTTCAGGGAAAGTTCACCCAAAAATGCAAATTCTGTCACCATTTACTCACCCTCATGTCATTCCAAACCTGAATCAATTTAGTTTTTCTGTGAAGGAAAAAAATGATAAATGTGTTTTTTTTGTCAATACAATGAAAGTGCTCAGTGAAAAGTTCAGTGTGGTTTTAACCCTGACTTTCATTGTGTCAACAAAATCAGTTGTAACATTTTTCAAAATATCTTTTGTGTTCTAACGAAGAAAGAAAGTCATGATGACTGAATTAAATTTTTTGGGTTAACTTTTTTTTGGTGAAGTTTGTTCATTTTCTATTTGCAATCAATGCATAACCCCTATACAATCTCATAGCATCTGCTAGTGTGGGAGGTTTTTACGGGCCCTTCAGATATGAAATTATTATTTTTTTAAAAAGCAGGCAGAGCTGCTGTTGCCATGTTTTAAGAGATTAATTACCAGCAGATTGCTTCAGACAGCACTAAAGAGCTTCAAACTCTTATTTGGCCAGAATTTATGATACATGCAAGAAGAGAAGCCTTAGTGCCAGCTGGACACTTATTTAAATGTCTTACACCCAAATCATGACACCAATTGTCCTTTTAAGTATTTCATTAATATATTAACATCAATAAAATGTGTAGTTTCTCCACAAAGCCCTATTTCTGCAAATCAAGTTCAGTGCAACATTCATAAAAAAAATCTAATCATATTCCAAACATGAAATTAAATAAATGAGAAGACACATTCAATCATTTCCTACACAATTCACATTTGGCACAAAGGAATCTTCTATACACCTACCCTTTGGTGAGGGTTCATTTGGTTTATGAACAGTAAAGAAATATTCTATTGCGTTGGCTCGCGGCGTCACTGCGAGGATGTCTCCGCTGCTAAACTCGACCTGCCATGCTGGTGAAAGTTTGGAGCCATGCAAGCACCACCGCAACTCAGTCCCTGATGGGGACCCTTCTTTATCCCCTCGCTGTCCATAAACCAACTGCTTTCATTTCCCAGCATGCCACAGTGCATCCCGCAGGCCACAGATGGGCTCTGAGCTATCCCGTTCAATCTCAGATGACCACACGCTGCTCCATTAGACACCTGACCTTGCAGGACGCTGGTGATGTGACTCAACAGGTCATCGAAAAACTTTGGGACTCCCTCGTAACCTGGGTAAAAAATGAAGGGGGTTTTAGATAACGGTAGTCAATGTGTTTCTTGTGACGGTGCTGAAAGCATTGTAAGCGCTCTAAGAGGCAGATTAATAAAAGGCAGATATCATCTGTTGTCTTACACCTGCGGTATCATGGGACTCGTTGGATGTACCACTGAGAGATATGAAAGTGCCGTTCCCTGCTAGATACACAAGATCACCACGGCAACAAGTGGAGAGAAGGCCAGGTGGCTTTTAAACATACTGTAAGCTGACAAACACAGCTGTGCCTGCAGATACTACTAGAGTCTTTAAATCAAGAGCTTCAAATGTACTTTTCCCCATCCTTCCACAATAATATATACACTACCAGTCAAAAGTTTTTGAACAGTAAGATTTTTTATGTTTTTTAAAGAAGTCTCTTCTGCTCACCAAGCCTACATTTATTTGATCCAATGTACAGCAAAAACAGTAAAATAACTGTTCTCTATTTGAATATATTTTAAAATGTAATTTATTCCTGTGATTTCAAAGCTGAATTTTTAGCATCATTACATGTCACATGATCCTTCAGACATAATTTTAATATTCTCATTTGCTGCTCAAAAAAAATGCTTATTATTATTATTTTGTTGAAAACAGCGGAGTAGAATTTTTTTTAGGTTTCTTTGATGAATAGAAAGTTCAGAAGAACAGCATTGATCTGAAATAGAAATCGTTTGTAACATTATAAATGTCTTTAGCATGACTTTTGATCAATTTAAAGCATCCTTGCTAAATGAAAAAAATTAAAATACCGACTCCAAGCTTTTGAATGGTATAGTGTATAATGTTACAAAAGCTTTTTATTTAAGATGCTGATCTTTGGATCTTTCTATTCATCAAAGAATGTTTTAAATATTGGTAATAATAATAGAAATAATAATAAAATGTTCTTGAACAGAAAATCAGCATATTAGAATTCTTTCTGAAGGAGCATGCATTGAAGACTGGAGTAATGATGCTGACAATTCAGCTTTGTTCACAGAAATACATTACATTTGAAAATATATTCAAATAGAAAAGTTATTTTAAATAGAAAAATATTTCACAATATTACTGCTTTTGCTGTATTTTGGATCAAATAAATGCAAGCTGCATGGGTGAGCAGAAGAGAATTCTTTAAAAAAAAACATAAAAAATCTTTTGACTGGTAGTGTATATAGAGAGTAGATTACTTACCAATTGTAATGTTACTGATTCCAAATTACATGATGAAAATAGTTAGTAACATAATCCTTTACATTACACATTTTAGGTAATATAATCAGACTACTTTTTGATAACTTTTAGATGACTTTTGACCTAACTCGTTTATCACATTGATGTAAATAGGATAATATTGTACCATATTGATACAAAAATACAAAGAGTAAGAAAATATTGCATTTGTTGTAATTAACAACATGTCTTTAACATGAAACATTATATTACATGAAGGTTTCCCAAACTGGGGTTTGTAAAGGAACTGCACGGGGATTTGTGAGTTTAATGAAAAAGCTAATAATTAAATCATAAAAATGTAAAATTATAATAAATCATTTAAAAATAACAATCAAAATAAAACACTTACTAAAAAGAGGAAATATTTTATGTTTACCTGCATGTCATGTGACCATAAACCATTTTCAGAGAACTGTGAACATACAAATGTGATACTTCATTTTTTAAATATGTATTTTAAAATCTCAGGGGGGCTTCATGTATATAGGTGAAAGAGGTTCAGATGACACAAAAGTTTGGGAATCCCTGCATTACACATAAATAAGAAATAAGGTGAATTTGTGCATTTTAATGTGCTAAAAGCCTTCCAAAGACATAGTAATAGGCTACACGGTTAAATAACATACTGAGTGATAATTCAAATTCAAATAAAACAGTAGATGTAATGTTGAAACAATTCTTAAACCTGAATCAGTTACTAAACAGCTATATATATATATATATATATATATATATACACACACACATACACACACAAAGCATGGCAAGAATAGTGGGTGAAAACCCAAAGTGAATGATAGAGACAAATGTGAAAAATATTGTGTCATGTTTTGGAGAGAAGAGAGAAGCAGATTCCCTCCAACATCTTAAAAGCAAATAGTAGATGTTTTTATAAAAAACATTCCACTGGATAAATTCAAAAGTTGTAGGAAGCTGTTTAAATAGAGGTAAACTCCTTATTAAAGAAATATGACCTATTTTAGCATTACAAAGCACTAAAAGGCCTCTTTATTATTCTGCACTGACACCATGTGGTCTGTTTGCATTATTGCATTATGGTTTTGAAAGTGGGAATAGAGGTCAGTGCATAAAGATAACACCCAGTCATTGTTGGACTGGATTCAGTCGTTGGACTGTGAGGACCTGCACGTACCTGGGAAAGCGTTGATGTCGATGACGGCGTGCTGGCCGGTCTGGTTGTTGATGATGATGTCAATCCCAAACAGAGAAATGCCAAGGGCCTGTCGTAACCTTCTGGAAATTTTCTGAATGACATCTTTGTTAGGTTCCCCGTACTGGCCCTCCATGTTGTCCCTCTAGAGGAAACCAGAAAAGGGACAAAAAGTATGAAATGCCTATTTGTTGAACATGTATGGTTATTATTCATTGTGAATGCCAAAAGACTTCAAAAGTGCTTTTTTATAAGACGTTTTAGTTATATACAATCATTTGATGCATTCATTTAGATGGTTTTTTTAGATTAACTAAAATGAATGGATTTTGCTGATTGTTTCCAGGTATTTAAACTACTTAAAATGTTTACAGAATAGTTCAGTTGAAGAAAAGTGTAATTTTTCTTGACTTGAAGGTGTTAAAGCATTGCTTGAGTTATAAATGTGAGGCATGTTGACTTACGCAGGTCAGGTCCGAAGAGGACTCTGGTTTGGACACATGATGACTGTTGAAGGATATTGCTCTCCTGTCTAGAAGATAAACAACACAACTTCAGTTGTGTAAGAAATATTTACACTACTTTTCCAAAAGTTGGGGATAGCAAGGTTGTTTTTTTTAAAAGAAATTAATACTTTTATTCAGCAAAGACACATTACATTTATCAAAATATTAAGCAGCACAACTGTTTTCATGATTGCTAATAGTAGGAAATGTTTCTTGAGCACCATATCAGCATATTAGATTGATTTCTGAAAGATCATGTGACACTGAATACTGGAATAATGGCTGCTGACAATTTAGCTTTGCTGTCACAGAAATAAATTACACGTTAAAATATATTAAAACAGAAAACAGCTATTTTAAATTGTAATAACATTTCACAATATTAAGTGTTTTTACTGTATTTTTTATTAAAAAATTTAAACCCAGTTATAAAAAACCCCACTGTTGAACAGTGAACAGTAAATATTTCAATTATTTTTGTCCTTTTCAGCTACATTTATTCAGCAAAGAAAAATCCCCAAATCCTTCACTGTCTCATTGTAAAGTTTATGCAACAAAAATGACAATCTTGGCAACAGAGAATTTGATTGGCCATCGGGGGGGCATAATTCACCAAACCACATTGGCGTCTGAGAACAAAATCTTTGAGTTGCTTATTTAATACATACCATGTCAAAAAGACATAATAAACCACTTCTCTGTAAGAGAAGGAAAGGGTCTAAACATCAGCAACATATGTTGACAGAATGGTCTAGACAGGCTGAGAGCCCTCGCCATCACACAGAGTTGTTCACGAGTGCCATTAATGTCAATCTCACATTCTGATAAAGCTTTCAAACATACAAGGTAACCTTATAAAAATTTCCAGACCAAGTGGGTTTGTTGTCATATCCTATGCTTGTGTGGATGGCTAAAACTAGTTGAAAGACTAGTTCTGGACCTGGCACCCTATAAAGTGTTTTTATTGGCTTTAATGCCGCCTGGTGAACTTGTGTCCCATGTGTGACATGCACAGAGTGCAATTTACAGATTTGTCTTTATTTCTATGTGCACAAACCTTGATGTAATACAAAGTAATATGTGACCCTGGAGCAGAAAACTCAGTCTTAAGTAGCACAGTTATATTTGTAGCAATCTTTTATGCCAAAAATCATTAGGATATTAAGTAAAGATCATGTTCCATGAAGATATTTTGTAAATTTCCTACGGCAAATATATCAAAACTTAATTTTTGATTAGTAATATGCATTGCTAAGAACTTCATTCGGGCAACTTTAAAGGCGATTTTCTCAGTATTTTGATTTTTTTGCTCCCTGAGATTCCAGATTTTCAAATAGTTGTATCTCTGCCAAATATTGTTCTATCCTAACAAACCATACATCAATGGAAAGCCTATTTATTCAGCTTTCGGATGATGTATAAATCTAAATTTCAAAAAAATGGACCCTTATGACTGGTTTTGTGTTTCAGGGTCACAAATATAAAAAAACAATACACTATCATTCAAAAAGTTCATTCAAAAGTCTCTTACGCTCACCAAGGCTGTGTTTATTTCATACAATGAAAACAGTAATATTGTGAAATAATATATTTAAAAATGTTATTTATTCCTGTGACGGCAAAACTGAATTTTCAACATCATTACCCCAGTCTTTCGTGTGACTATGATCCTTCAGAAATCATTCTAATAAGCTTGATTTGCTTATAATTTGCTTATCTATAAAGAGTTTGATTTATGACTAATTGTAGAGCAAAATATTTCTAAACAAATTACATTCGTTAAATACTTTGAACTATCCATTATAGGGATGTTGTGTGAGTCAACTGACCTGTGGGTCCAGATGGGAAATTTCTAATGGAGGGCCGCTGAACCACATTGTAGGCCTCTCCTACAACAAACACCTTATACAGCACTGCATTATGGTTGATGAAGCTCTGGATGACACATGGGGGCTTGATGTCCTTCAGATCTTCCTCACTGAAGATGATGGCCATCTATTGAGCAGGAACCAAATAAACATCTTAACACATTCCAGAGCAGGTAGGTTATAAATTACCACAATAAAATACACTGATTCCTGTTGTTATCTTGAAATGTAAAGGAGCAAACAAGAAAGTGTCGTGAGAGTACAGTGCATACATTATATTTGACCTAAGACTGCCACACCAAAACCCCCTCAATCCATGTATGTTCCTTGTTTTTCCTTTAGCTAAGTAAACCCATGTGCTCACAGTCATAAAACACATGACCATCAACCTGTTTGCACAAAACACAGTCGTTCAGCAGTAAGTGGTGACACATTAATCTAGTACGCCCCTCATTGTCAACATTGTAAAACAGAGTTAATAGTGTCTTCAAGCAGTATTCTGAAGGAATGTAAGTGATCAGAGACTTTGCCTGTACATTAGTCACTGAGAATCAAAGATATGGTCACCATAGCAACGGAGGCTGCACCCCTGTTAATCATCCACAAGGACAGCAGGGTTACGTGTGATTCAGAGAGATGAGAGATTCAGGTTTACTCTCTCTTTATAGGGGGATATGTGTCAAAATACTTTGTGTTTTTTTTTCAGTATCACATGTTCAAGGCAACTGAAATGAATCACAGAAGTGGCCACAGTGTTGTTGAAATATCACAGAAATTATAATGTGTTTTTTATTACTACTACTACTACTAATAATAATAATAATGATAATAATTAGACCTCTCAGTTCTTTAGCTTTACAAAAATAGAAATCCTGCATGAAAAAGTGGGATACTCAAGGCCAGAATTAATAATTTTAATGAGATGCTACTCAGTGTTAGAAATGATTAACTAACATCATGTAGCACCTCTTATGTAATGGATCTGAATATCACTGTACTCTACTGTACTTATCTACTGCTTATTATGTAAAATAGTGCAGGTTACAGTAGAGTAGAGTCTCTTACCTCATGGGAGTTGATGCCATGAGCTACTTGGGTTTTGCAGACTGCAATCAAACAAAAATAGAGTGAAAATGTGTGTCACATCACAGTACACAAGGAAATATGTAATAAGCAGCTTTTTTGAAGTCTTAGACTCCTTTTCGGAATTAGATGAGCCAAATCTATGTATATAAATGGTCTTGAAGATTACTGCTGATTTTAAATGTCTTAAACTTACTGAAGGGAAACGTGATTCCATGTTTCTGAAGCTGCTCCAGAGTCTCAGTGCCACATTCACTCTTGAGAACCATGAATGGAGGCGAGCAGATTCTGTCATCTACAGAAAACACACATGAGCACATGCTATACGGTTTTGTCTAGATCTATGAAATAATTTTATAATACATTATTTAAATAGGCATTTTATACATATGACTTGAATATACTTCTTTTGTGTTGAGAATGTTTTTAATTTCTGGTTAAAAATGTAGTTTGATAATGTAACTGCACTGATATCATAATGAAGAAAAAAAAAGGCAAATTAAAAGGGTGAAATTCTTGAAAAAAAAAAAATAATAATAATTTTTTTTATTATTATTGGTTTTAAACATTAACAAACTTTACTGCTTAATATTTGAAAAAACCTCTTCAGATCAGATCATTCGACGAAGCAAGGTTGGTTTAGGTTATAAAATGTCCCATGGTGCGATCTTCTAAAAACTAGATTCTGAGACTTATGATTCTCTAAAAACTATTTTGATTTAACATTGTCTAAAATATTTAGGAATTAATGCTTGATGATATTTGAATGAATGGAAAATAAATAAATAAATAAAACACTTTTAATATATATATTTTTTTTACTACGGAGACTATTATTATTATTATGAAAAAGATTTAGGATAAAGCAGTTTTTAAATATTAAAATTAAGATTTAAACATCTAAACTCTATGTCAAAGTCAAGAAAATATTGACAACTGTCTTCTTTACTCTTATGGATCTGATCATGATGGCCAACTCGGATTCTAAATTTTGTTTGTAAAGGTCTGGGAGCAATAAATAGTTGATTCTTGGATGTGTTTTGATTTCATCTTACTTTCTGTGTCTTTTTCTCCCTAACTAGCATTTCTTTCTTTCTTTTCTTTTTGCTACACACACAAATGAAAATGTAACCAGACAGCAACACCTTGACAAGATTAACCAGCACACCATGAGCATAACTCTTCGTAGACACCAAGTTTGGATGATGTGTACACATTTTAAGTGATGACTAGACTTTATACAGAATAATATTACTACTGGATCCATGGAAACATTTAAAACTAAACCGCTGAGGTATCTGTGAATTTTCAGCTTGCTTTTGATCTGAAAACATCAATTAAATCTTATAAACAGCTTCTATTCCAAGAGTGAAAGTGCAGGCTATTTATAGCCACACAAAAACAATCTTTTTCTATGTTGGGCAGCTCAAGACAGCTCAGCGTATTAAAGCATCACATTTTTCATTAGACAAGGAACATGAATCCATTTGATCAAACAAGCAGTAACCTTTAAAGCAGCTACAAATGCTGAATACAGCAATGTGATGTGTAACAGGGATGTATGAGATAAACAATAAGTGCGCATTTTGGGGGATACGGGTTGATTATGATTCATTATGAAACCATAGGATGAGCAATCAATTTACACAACCAAGTCAAATGACTCAAGATGAACTAAGCCAAAATAGCACTGAACTTTACTGCAAATCCCATGAGTAAGAACATAAATGTAAGTCACATAATGCAGTACTTGCTTTACATTCAAACACTTGGCCCACGGCAGCTTGTTGTCATCCGTTCACATGGACTTGACATATTGGTCGATTAGCTCATGGAAAAATGTGTCTCATTTAACAAAATCAGTCATTGATGGCACTTGCTGATAGAGCCAAACATGCATGTATTGGGCAAGTGAGTTATTTTAAAAAGGATTTTGTGTAATACAGAGGGTACATGAGCTGTGTTATCTTTCTTTCCCAGAATCCATTGCAATGTTGTTTCAATAAGCTAATAGCCATAGAGGCAGTTGCCTGGTGAGCAGACCCGAGAAAATAGTCACTCCCATTGTATCCTAAACAGAATCGTAGAGACTGGGGAAGCACCAAGGCAGATGGTTAACTTCACACTAACCCTCAGCAGACACTCCTGTACCCACACGTCCCTCTGGAGAACATTGACGTTCTGATATGGTTTTGATTGGACAACATCAGTTTCTCTGATCTGAATGCAAGAGGTTTCTCTTTGAACAATTTGGAAAGCATGCTAATTTTTGCATTTAAAGATCCTTTATAATATGAGCTTCATATACAATGGGGTCCAAAAAGCCACACTGTTACACTGACCACACAAGATGCTCTTTGGATCGTTCTCAAAAACCTCATCAGTTTGTACTCAAACTTGTGGAGTTTATACAGCTTGAGTGTGTCTGTCATTAAAGCAAAAGAGGGACAAACCAAATAATTTTTAAACAGAAATTGATACAAATTTAAACAGTCCCAGACTTTAAAGAGATAGTTCACCCAAAAATGAAAATTCTGTCATTAATTACTCACTCTCATGTCGTTCCAAACCCGTAAGACCTTCGTTCATCTTCGGAACACAAATTAAGATATTTTTGATGAAATCCGAGAGCTTTCTGACCCTGCATAGACAGCAATGCAACTGACACATTCAAGGCCCAGAAAGGTAGTAAGGACATTGTTAAAATAGTCCATGTGAAATCAGTGGTTCAACCGTAATGTTATGAAGCTATGAGAATACTATTTGCGCACAAAGAAAACAAAAATAATGACTTTATTCAACAATTTCAGTCTTAGACGCACGTACAGGAGAGTAGCACGACGCATGCATGTGATGTCGGCATTCGTCGTGCTACTCTCCTGAACGTGTGTCAAAGACTGACACGGAAGAGAAGAAATTGTTGAATAAAGTCATTGTTTTTATTCTCGTAGCTTCATAAAATTAAAGTTGAACCACTGATGTTACATATACTATTTTAACAAATGTTCTTACTACCTTTCTGGACCTTGAATGTGTCCGTTACATTGCTGTCTATGCAGGGTCAGAAAGCTCTTGGATTTAATCAAAAATATCTTAATTTGTGTTCAAAAGAAGTAGAAGGTCTTACGGTTTTGGAACGATATAAGGGTGAGTAATTAATGGCAGATTTTTTTTTTTTTTGGGTGAACCAACCCAGTTTTCCCATTGAGACCCACTTTACACTACAGTTCAAAAGTTTTTTTTTTTTTTTTTTTAAAGAATACATTTATTCAGCAAGGAAGCAATGTATCGCAGTTTCACCAAAATGTAGCTTTTTTTAGCAATAAATTAGAAAAGAAAACGGTTATTTTAAATTGTAATTATATTTGACAGTATTGTTCTTGCTGTATTTTAACCATAAAAGACTTTCAAAAACATTAAAAACTCTTACCAACCTCAAACTTTTGAATGGTAGTGTATGTGTAGATACTTATGTGTGGAAATGTTTAGGCTGAATATTTTGAATAAGAGTGCAGATTTAGATTCCTTAGGCACTACGTCATTCACACAGCTGGTGATTCTGTTGGCTTGTAGTGATCCTGCGGGCCTCCTGTTATTTCTGTGGCCAGTGAATGCAGCACGCAAGCAGCACAAAGAATGAACGACTCAGCAGCTTTAGGACATAAGCCCTCCATAAGCCTCACACTTCCCCTGTGGAAAGGCAAAACCTGCCCTCCTCGTGTTAGTTCACCCCTGAAGAACAAAGGAGGTTCTAAAGGCCTGGTTTACAGAACCATTTGCAACATTTAGAATTAGTGGAAATGCTGTAAACGGTCTGATCTACATTACAGCTTAGCATGTCTGACACAAAAAGCAACCAACCAGATTGGTTGCGTGCCATTTAGGGGTGAGCTTATCTGAAATATATAGCTGGGTCACCCATTATCAATAATTGTATTTAACACAGTTGTATTTTGTGTGATTAAATCACACACACACATGTATAACTGTGTATTAGTGCTGTAGACAGACCTTGCATGCACTCTTCAAGTTTATGGATTAGCTTGTATGACTTGCAGCGGTCCAGCAGGGTACGAATGGCTGGAAGAGGGTCGAGAATCACTGTTTCAGGATGAGCATCTATGTAGTCCTGGAAAGAGGTCAAAACATACAATTAATGATGAAATGAAATGAAAGAACAATGTCAGCAGTTATTTAAAAAAAAAAAGATATAAAACAATATATATATATGTTACAATATTATTATTTTTTAATATTTCTAATAATATATTATTTTTATTATTATTAAAATAGTATTATTAATATGTTAATTTAACAAAATATTAAAAATATATACTATTCTATTTTTCTTATTTTGTATTAAAATACAAGGAGTGAAGAGCAGATAAATGTATGGCCACTTGAGCTGATTTATCTATTTACCTGAACGCCCTGAACAAGCAGCAGAGACTCTGTGACATTTTGGTCAGCATCAACAATGTGGTCAGTCAGCTTGTGGATGATGACATCAAATGGACCCTGCTTCTCTATTGGCTGGCTCAGATCCAGCTAGACCGGGAGAACAAGGTAAAGAGCTCAGTAAACATCCATGAGACATTTTTTAACAATACCCCTCCGGGAGAATTCTAATGTCAATATATGAACAGGCAGAGAATGTATTTTTCTCAAAAATGCACATGTGTGTATTATTTGTTAGACATTAACTATTATAATTAGCCAATTAAATGCAATAGGTTGACAAAATAAACAGCATGCCTACATTTTGAAATTCCAGTTTTGCCACAAGTTCTGTTTGCTCAAGGGGGACATTTGAAGAACCGATGTTTATGACGTGATGTTAATTGTGAGGTGTGATCTGTGCCATCACTCAGACCTTGTGCTGCACAACTCTGAAAACAAACTATTTTGTTTGTTCTAAAGCTCAGATCTGGAGCAAATAGAGATAAAAAAAAAGCATAATTACAGTATTTTTTCATAAATATAGTGGTACAGAAGCAGTCAACTATTTTATGACAGCACAATGTGTTCTAAAGGTTTTTCATGTCGTCCAATATGGAAAATGTCTGCTTGGGGTACACAGAACATGTGGTCCCTTTGGGTTTAACCTTTCGGGATGAGAGCCTATTTCCTTTGGATCAGACCACAAAGGTTCTTGGCAAACGTCAGAGGCATTTAAACATGGCCTAGGCAGTTAATAGGGGATAGGGGCATCCCTAAGTGCACTTTTATTTATAACGCTTAGACCCAGTCCAGAGTTTCGCTTTTAAAAGCACTTGGACTGCGTGGCCCACCAGAGGTAATCCTAAGGGATTTATTATCTTATTCCCTAAATGGCTCTGTTTCAGATTACAATGTTTGGAAATATTCTCATTGCCAGCACAGATGTGTGACAAACAATTTGCGAAAACAGACAAAGAATGAAGATGACACACAGATTCCACCTCATGACACTTCAGAGAAAAGACCCCTCCACTTCCCTTTTTGTAGAGGATATTCAGCTGATACACATATCATCTGATACAAAGCATGAGACAGCCATGCTTTACGTCACATTAATGTTGCTGTAGCAATTTAGTCATTTAAAGTAGCTTTTTAAATAACAATCAGGCAAAGAGCTTCACTGCTTCCTGGATATAATGAGGCCTTATTTGCTTTGCTAGATTATTGTTCTCCCATCTAGCACACTTCTGTGTGAGGGACATAACATCATTACGCCAAGTTAAGTGCAAACCAAGGAAGTGATGGCAAACAAAAGTCCTTCTTTAAATTACATTTTTAAAATATATTAAAATACAAAACAGTTACTTTAAATTTTTACTTTAAATTTTACAATATTAGTGTTTTTTCGATAAAATGAGCATAAGAGACTTCAAAAAAAGACTGATTCAAAATTGTTAAAACAACTTATTGACCCCAAACTTTTGATAAAAAAAGAAAATTTGTAAGGATATATTCATATCCTTATTAAACCAAAAGCTTATAAGGATACATGTTCACTCCCATGACCCTTGGGTTATATTATATTTTTGAAATGAGTGTTGGTAAGTACTTGAGAAAGTGTAATTATCTTATCTCTATGGTGGTGACATGCTGAAATTGCAGTTTTTAAACTATATGTAAATGTACTATGAACCTATAAAATAATTTAATAAGTAAAGTAGGACAGGCTGAGAAGGGAAGACAGAGTATGTTGACCAACAAAAACTATTTACCCACAGAAAATACACTCAGGTAAATATTCAAAGACTTCATTTTCAAAAAAAGTGACGAGATTAAGCCTTTTCCCTTTGATTGCTTTTAGTAACTTAATGATTAAATAATCTCATTATCTTAAACAAATTAATGACACTTCCCCCTGTCTAAAGTGATCAGCCCATGGACTGATTGCTAGATAGTGAAGTACTTTAGAGACCATATAAAATCTATGACTGGGTGCAGCTGGGTAGCCTATTGCATGAGGTGTAAACAGGTCAAAGTCCATCCTTTACTCTCTTCAGTTTCCACGCCCTATATGCTGTGGATAGCAAAGCGGTGTACATCTTGGGAGTGGAGAAAAGCCCTCAGTGTTTCACTCATCCAGACAGCTTCACTCATAAATGTCTGACACTGAGGGAACAAGGACCTTGGTTTCTTCTACCAGCCTTCACATGCATGTCCCAAAACAAAACAAGGTGACTCTGCCATCACTCATGTACTTTCCACGGCAAAACATTAAAGAACAATGTTTGTCCATAAGCATATACATTTATTTTATTTTTAATTTTTTAACTAAAGATATGCTTTGAGTTCTGATCCACACCTCATTTCCACTGCAAGCTGCTTGGTTTGTTATAGGCAGCCCTATACGTATCTCAGGGCCACCTCAGTTCCTCTTTAGCTTAACACAATATAAACATGCTTGACAAGGGCATGTCCTGCTGGAATGCACAATACTGTCTTCATATGTCCACTGAAAACATTACCACAAAAAGTCAGTCATTTTCTCCAAAATAAAGGATTTCTCCAAGTCATTGATACCACTAGTGATTTTTTTTGTCTATTTATTTAAAAATTGTATTTATTATTTTTTTTTACACACACACATATATATATATATATATATATAATATAATATTATTTAAAAAAATATTATTTTACTAAAAACATATATTTTATTTTTTTATTTAAAATAAAATAAAAAATAAACAGATTTTCAATATTTTTTATCTTAATTGTATGTCTATTTTCTATTTTTCAAAATCCTGAAGGTTTAAATCGATTTTAAATAACAGATTTTCAATGTGGTCTTAGACTTTTAGGGGGAGAAAAAACACCCACACACAAAATAATCATAATAATAATGTCTTAAACGTGTCACAATACATTCTAATCTCTGTGAGTCATGTGTCTAATGATTTATCAGTGGCAAGGTGAAACAAAGGGAAGCTGCCACAAGTGCAACAGAATCATTCAATAACTCGCCATCCTTGAGCAAACATAGCATGATGGTGATGGCCTAACTTGAAAAAAAGTAATGCAAGAACAATCCATGTTCTGTTCATCAACACTAAAATGGGGGCACTCTTGTAGGTATAAGACATCTGTAGAAGCCCTGACAAAGCCAGGTGTTCCTTACAAGAACAAAATGCACACATTGTATGTGAATCTATTTACAGTGCCTTTGTTATCAGTGAGGACAGGTTGGGTTTAACCTATTCTCCAAAAAATCATCCTCTTTACTTGAATGAAGCCAAGGAAGCTAGATTAAGCAGGAACAAATGGAAGACTTAAAGACTTGTGTTCTATGCTGTCCCATCGCACTAATGTCCTCAGCACAACCTTATAGAATTACTTGATAAGACAATGCTTCAGCTTAGACTCTAAATGCAGCTCATATCAGACTGATATGAAGAAGGCTAATCTGTGCAATTTCCATGCAATTTTGTAGAAGCAAACTTTTGTTTTGTTATGTTAGGCTATATTAGGCCTGGTTGAAAACAGTTTTGAAGCAAAAAGTCTATAAACTGTTTTTACTGGCATCTATTCAATGGCAAAGAAAAAAAGCCACAAGAATGATCATGCAATAACAGTATGAACATTATTAATATGGCATTACAGTAAGCATCACCAGCCCTATTAAACAATGCATTTATTATTATGCAATACAAACCTCAAAATGCACAATTCCAACTGCATGTAAGAGTGATTAACTGTGAAGTAATGCAGTAATAGTATGTAATACTCATGGTGATGGTGATATTTTAAATTTAAGTGTCCCCAGGCATACTAGCTGCATTTTCATTTAATGAAAGGCATGTTTGTAATGTTTCGAGCAGATGCTGACAAATATATTGCAATGGTATTGTGGAAGCAGCCTCACATTAATGAGCAGGCTTTTGTGTCATGGAAAAGCCATAAAAAAGAAAGAAAAATGCCATAACGGTATCTTACCTGGATCATCTCTATGCCTTGTTTCCTGGAAAACAAAAAAAAGTGGAAAAACAAACTATGAATATTTTATATTGATTCCATGTGACATGCAACTAAAGTACTGTTGACTCAAATAATGATCAACATTGACTTGAACTTGGAATAATGAGAACTTCACAATGAGACAAATTATTAGGAAGACAGAAATTCTAATAGAACTGGGAAATAGATGTGTGATAAAAAGGGGGCTTTGTCACCTACAGCAATCCCTGTTTAGCTTTGGACTGCTGTCTCTTACACAAATAGGACAGAATTCTCCAAATTCCCTCTCACAAACACAGGCACAAAAAAGCAACAAACACACATGCTTAAAATTAAGTATCATCCCTCTCCATTTCCAGACAACACATTTATGCGATTGATAAAGCGAAACAAAACACTCTTTAAATGATAACGCAGTTCATATAATGAACAGTTTGTCTGATTAGTTCTTGTGCTATGAGAATATCTGTATTTGGGCAACTTTAAATCTTTAAGTTTAAAAGTCCTTGAAGAAAACAACAAGCTCACATCTTTTTAAACAGCTGACGATCATGTTGTGATTTAACGAATGTAGCACTGCTTGGCAGTTTATCAGCAGTGCTGAGTCAGTAGTTTGTTTCTAAAGCCTCAGAACTAGGTGAAAATATCTTAGCCTTTCATCAAATGTCCCAAGACAAATATGCCAGACAGTAGAATAACAAATCACTGAGCATTTTGAATAAGCTTAGGTAAAATCCCTTTGAAAACCGGTTATCTTTAGGCTGGAACATGCTCGTGAAAGACAGAAGATCACGTTACATGTCATGTAGCCCACGCACTTTACGTCATCCGCACAGATACGCATCTAAGGCATGTTCAGTGCCTCCCTCCGCAAACACAACATTTATAGCTTTATAGCCATATTGATTACAATGCCATGTAAACTTGAATAACGTAAGTAACACAATTTGACTTTGAATCAGTTAAGTAACAGGCACAGTCTTCCTGCAGACTCTTAGGAATGCATGGAGTCTTAAGAGATATGCGAGCAATGTTACTCCTAATTCTGTGAAATCGAAGACTGCCTGCCTACCTGGTGCTTATCCAGGTGAACTTTGTCTAGGCCTTTGTCTTTTTTACGGTGAAAAATTCTGCAGATTATTTTATGGCCATCAAATTATGAGAATCCCAGGACAGTGTTACAAGTTACAGCGTTTTATAAGCAATCTAGGACAGTTCAGAAGGGACTCCCTCGAATAGGAAATGCTTAGAAAATTGACAGGCAGACTGACTACGCTGACGAAAGATATCCATGGTTTTATGATTGAAGAAAGATGATGGATGCAAGAGTGTATTGCATAAGAGTAGTGGTTTATGGGGGGGAGGGTACAGGAAGAGAGTTAGTTTCACATTTTTTAGACAAGACTGTTCGGAGAACACAAACTGCAGAGATGACGGTGAGAAATAGTGAAGGAATATCTTTTTTTACATTTACTGGATACAATGAAGTGTGTGAAACTGTGTCGACGAGAGGACAACAAGAGGACATGACTAGTTGTGATGACTCATGTTTCCTATATCCTATAAGCCCCACTTGTTTTTAATCTCTACAAATCATCTGAATTACACATTCATGTGTTGACACATCAGCACCCCTCAAAAATAAATATATCATTTTCCTAATATTAAATGGCAAGTAGTTTTAACATGTATTCCTTAAAATGAACTAGTATATTTTACATTACTAGCACTTTTTAAATGAGTAGTTAGTTAGCAATCCAAACAGTGACTCTTTGCTGTTTGACACATTGCCACTAGCAACTGTTTATTAGATAGACACTAGTACTTTTTTCTTTGCTACTAGTCAAATAACTATTACAATATAACACTCCAATTGTGTCAAATAATTCCAATAATTTCCAAAACTGTGAAATAATGATTCCATTGTTAAAAGTACTTTTTGCCTGTATGTGAAGAAGATGACAATTGAATAGGTAGGGTACTAGGAGCTATGTTCTAGCTCTAACATACACTCTTAAAAATAAAGGTGCTTCACGATGCCATAGAAGAACCTTTTTGTCTAAATGGTTCCATAAAGAACCTTTAACATCTGAAGAACCTTTCTGTTTCACAAAAGGTTCTTTGGGGCGAAAGAAGGTTCTTCAGATTATAAAAAGGTAAGAAAGAGATGGTTCTTTAAAGAACCTTTGACTGAATGGTTCTTTGTGGAACCAAAAATTATTCTTCTATGGCATCGCTTGAAGAACCTTTTGAAGCACCTTTATTTTTAAGAGTGTATATTCCGATTGTTATAGTAACATTTTACTCTTAGTAACAAGATTTTTTCACTGAAATATGACAAGTAAAAAACTTACTAAAAAGTACTAGTAACAAATATTAAAACAACTTGCTACTTGCATAGGACCGGCTCTTGTCTAACGCTGAGATGCGCTTTTACGCACCTGCACATATCCACGAAGGTCTGGAAACTGAGTTTTTTAATCTTCTTTTCGCTGAGCCAGTATCCAACTCTCTTTCCTTTCACGAATGTCTGCATCTCTGGAGAGAGATAGGCTATTTCAGTCCAACTGCAGAGTTTATTCATTAAGAATTCGACCAGCAATTTAGTTTAAGTAGCCTATTTTAAACTACACGCAAGAAGAGTAGTTGGGTGGTTAATGTCAAAAGATACAGAAGATTTCCTGAATGCAAGTTTGATCTTACCTGACAGAATCAATGCGTCTCTCTCCTTTACGTCTCGTAAAGTCCGAATTACAGGTTTCGACTGTCGTCAATAGTAGTCCATCCAGGATTGCCAGTGTCCTCCAGAATGCGTGTCCCTCTGTCTAAATTGCTGTTCAATTTTATGACAACTTCGTCACATTATTTATATATCTGACACCAACACATGTCGACATAACAAACACATCATGACACATCACAGTGTGAAACGGGAGCGTGTGTCCCTTGTGTAACCTCAATCTTTTTTATCCAATTGGTCTGTCCATTACTTGGCAATGCTGTCGATTAACAATGTAATGATGATTGGCCATTTGGACAGCAACGAAACTTATTTGCCCTGGCACACCCTTTTCAGAGGCGGGCTTAACGTTTGTTCACTGCTAAAACTTGCGTGGTGTTTGCGAGGGATCTGCTCCGGCTGGATTTATTCATTCAAATTCAAGTGTTTCGTTGTACCAAAGTTCAAATCTTTCACAATAAGAAATAATAGGGAAATAAAAAAAAGAGGTGCAGTGGCTTGTTGGAGTGGTAGAGACGTTGAGTGTAGATTTTAACCGAGGTGGTCGACCAAAGGCAAATTTTTCGTCTAGGTTAGCTATTTCAATTATATTAAATATTTTCAAATAAAACACTAAAGTTTTTTTTAATTATATAGGCTATTTGTAATATTTAAATATGTGATTTAGGGGAAAATGTATCAATAAAATGTATCAATAAAATAGTTTTGCTGCTGAAAAGCTACATGACATTTCTCAGTAGGGAGGTTCTTGAAGCAGTTTAACTTAAAGATTCGCTATTAGTAGACGCTGCTGCTGAAGCTGCTGAGAGACCCACAGACAGATTCACAAGCGCTTAATAGGCCTATCTCTCTGTCTCTCTCTCTCTCTCTTTCTCTAATAACTGCATTAGACTGCATTAGCCTGCATACCAATGGCTCAAGCCTCTGTTATTAGCTCTAAAATTACATTTTGGAATTTTCAACGGAAGGTTTGGGATGAAGTGCGTAAAAATTAGTTCAATACATTTCAGGACGGAAACATGTCAAATGTCTTGAAACAAATCATTCTGAACAATATGTCTTGATGTGTGGTAGTGACTCCTGGCCGTTAAAATGATTAGAGAAATAACTCCCGAAGTGGTAGGCTATGCCGTGCCTATTAATGGAATGGTCTTTCTGAGTTCTCAAACAAATTAAGAACTACATTCCATTCGATTTTTATTGACTGAACGCAAGCGCTTATTGTGATGGAAAACACTGTAACATTTCCACTGATCAAGAAATATTTTTGTTTGCTTGGGTGGTAATATTAGGCCTATTATATTAATAGTGAAGGGGGGCCCAAAAATGAGTTTAGCCTATGTCACGAAAAGAGGTAAATCCGGTTGTAGGCTACCGTGTTGCTTGCTATGCTAGGTATAAATATAAAAAACTGTAAATTCAAAAAATGTAATTCATTAGGATACTTACTAATTAATTTCTCCTTTCAAAAGTAATATTATTACTTTACTTAGGCTACTACTTTATGGCAATAGTAATATATGACACTATTACTTTTCCTTCACGCCCCACGGAAGTTGTAGCCCAGGCCTAATTGCTTAATACCCCAAAAAAAAAAAATCTGAAATGTTACTAACAATATATTTCCGCCTCATCATTTGACCAAAATCCACATGGGATCACAGTCAGAAGTTATTACAAACACTCACTGGTGATTGATAGTGACTTTGAAATGTTGTATTAACCTCATTAATTGTCATGTGTATTGTGTAACTTGTGTAAGTTAATTGTAGCTAATTTCTCTATTTCCCACATACTATTATATTCACAATGTACTGTATTTTATCAAAAGAAATAGTATAAGTTTGTAAGAAAATGTTTCATTTTCTAAAAAGATTTTTAAATATAGTAATGCAATTTATATCGGGATCAGAGGGATGTGGGTGGGCAAGCCATGTAATGCCAGAGTAAAGTATAATGCCACAACATCCATAATGCCACAACTAACACATTGGTGTTCGGATCATCTTTTCTTCTCACAAAATCAATGTAATGGCAATATTTCCATCCGTGAAATGTAAGCTTTTCCATATTCCAAGCTTGCCTGCTGCTCTGGTGACTTCATGTGTTCATGAGTCATAAAAATTATGAAAATAAATCTAGGAATTACTGGATTGTTGGACTTCAAATCAGTAGGCATTGAGGCATCAAAACTAAGCTGTTTTATGGATGGTAACTGTAATATTATTACTGAAATCTTATTAGTAATTAGTTGCACTACTAGTTAGTGCACAAAGTAATATTACTGTATTACTGTAACTAGTTACAGTCCAACACTGCTTATTACAACCTCGGCCAGTTGAACAAACAATACAAGGAAGGATCGACATGAAACTGCTCTTTTAATTCTTTCAAAATAATATAAATATTATATAAAATAAATAATGTTAAATTGCATAAATTATAACAAATATAACCCCTCAAGTACAGTAAAAAGAAAAAAAGAAAAAAAAGAAAAAAAAGAGTTTGACATTTGAAGGAAAACAGCTTATAAATCACAAAATTATATATATTTTATAAAATGTAAAAATGCGGAATGTTTTCAGATGAATACAGTTTAAATAATTTTCTTATCTCAAAATTGTTGTGGTCCTCTAAATCTCTCTTGTAATTTTACAACTGCTAACTGTCATGTAAGATAGTGATTTGTCCTCTGTAGTGAGTTTGTGCTTGGTAAAACCGTCGGTGTTACAGCACACCTGTGTGTACACATATTTTGATTTCTGGCGTTGTATATGACACAGAGATGCTCTGGGGGGCAGTAGACTACTTTGCGAGGTTAATAATAAAGCCGGCGAAGATTCACGGGAAACTTCCCGGATGTTGCTAGTCCGGGAAGTGAGTCCTATGAGAACAATCCTGTGGCAGCGTTGTGTGTTTTGACTTGAGAAACATATTGTCCTGCAAACCGCGCAAAATGGATTGATCGTGTGATCACAGTAAGTAACACTCATGTGTAATCATGTGTTTAGTGGATATGATGGGGGCGTGTCGCTGTATAATAATGACACAACAGTACTAGTCAACAGCTCTGGGAAATATCCAGAGGGTGATTTTTCTTGTGTTTGAAGGACTTCGTCTTTGTTTATTTAATATTTCAAGCTAAAGTTTTATAATTATTTTAGGAATGTGTTTCGTACAACATCAAGGAAGTTAATGTTTTGAAAATTAAATATTTTAGTGATATATTTTTTGTGAATATAATTAAATATTAACTTGTGTGTTTTCCACTGAGCCCCTTTCTTGTTCAACAAGAGCCGTCAAAACTTCAGATATATCAGCATTTAATTTCTTGATGCCAGTTATCACAGATTTCAAATTGCCATCTGCTTGTACTGTAAACTGGCTTGTCCGTCCATCTCGGTACTTCAGCTCTCCCTTCAGCTCGCACGCTGCCATATTGCAGGTAGACGCTGTAACTCGGTTGCCAGATCTCACATGAAAACCACGCAAAACGGACTGTCTAAAATGAAATGGAAAAAAATGAAGTATCTAAAAAAATTATTTATGAAATAGAATGGAATAGATTACACTACAGGCTAAACTTCAACATCCCTCAAAATATTATTATCAGTAATTACATAATTTTACAAAAAATAGCTAAAATATTTCAAATATAGAACTGGTCATTAAATAACTGCAACAGGCAGCAAATTAACAATATTAACAATGAACAAAATGCAGACATAAGCATAAACATGAACATAACCATGTAAAATATATATCTTTATTTACATATACATATATACATATATTTAAAAAACCGTATGAGTAAGTGACACACTATTTATAAGCGGTATAATGAGTGGACATGGCAACACTGATCTACCCTTTGAACTCTGATCTATCAAATTAGCTTTGCGAAAATTCCTATTTTTTCTGTTTATTCAGAATCATTGAGTTAATATGGGTGTGATGTATGAATACACATTAGTCAGAAAAAAGAGCCCTTAAAAATAATAAATTATATTTACAACTCCAGCAACTCTCCCGCCAAAACATCTCGTATTTGCATAAACCGGAAGCAGCGTTGGTTTTGTTATTGTCAGTTAATCCCGAGAACATGTTCGGGTAATGTCAAATTGCATTACACTTATCTACATCTTTCGTTTAGTTGTATAACAGAGGACCCACTGTCTCCAGTAAAGCGTGATCTCGCTGACAGTTCAGTTAGTTCGTGTCTCGGTTCGTGCCCTGGAACAGGAACTAGAAACATTATTTTGCGCTCGTCTCTTCAAGGATGGCGGCAAATGATGGAGAGGAGGAGGCTACTGTATCTCTGGTGGACGTCTTAGAGGAGGACGAAGAGCTGGAGAACGAAGCCTCCGCTGTTCTTGGAGGGAGTGATTCAGAGAAATGCTCGTATCCAGAGGTTTGACGGCTTTATGTAAACCGTTTTTAGCAAGCGGATCATACCTTGACACAGCCTGTTTCATCTCGGTGTTCAACATAATTCTTGCAAAATGTTTGTTGGATTGTTTTGATTTGGGTTTAACACAAAACATTATCAATAATGCGTCTATTTGTCGGAAATAAACCTTATTGCAATAACAGATAATAGCAAGATGCCTTTAACAGTAACGTAGTTGTCAGTAAATGCTCTGTATTTACATTAACATTCTCAAATGAAAATAAGTTATATGTTCTGAAAACCAGGTGATTTGTTTTGTCCTGACAGGGTTATGTGAAGCGTCAGGCTCTGTATGCCTGCAACACCTGCACACCAAAGGGAGGAGAGCCAGCTGGCATCTGTCTGGCATGCTCCTACAAGTGCCATGAAGGCCATGACCTTTTTGAGCTCTATACCAAGAGGTGAATATTTCCACAGTCCATCTAAAATAACCACTGAAGCCATGATACTATGTTAGAAGGTACATTTGCTGCTGCTCTAACCCGTTTAAGCAGAGCCTGATTGGATCTGACATTTATTGTTTGATGGTTTGCTGACGGGCTTCCATGTGCATTTTGCTAACTATTTTGCCTAATGTGTATTAATATATTTTTGACAGTATGACAGGAATTATTTAGCTGTTTTTCTTTGATGTATTTGCACTGGCTGCATCATAGGCAATGCGAGTGAAGAACTAGGGCTGTCAAAATGGCTGAAAAACAAAATTTTGAACTTAAATATGATCAAAAGTCGAATTATATTCAAATTTAAAATGCATAATTTCAGTTATGGTGAAGAATAGCTTTTGGCTTCTCTCCTGAGGCCACAAGAGGGCGCATCGAGCGAAA